AAACACAACCATAAACAAATGTCCACATTAATTAAGGTGAAATTAAAGTAAAATCATAAGATCTTCCACCACCAACTCTCCAATATTTAACAAAACATCAAGACACCAAAGTGCAAACCTCTAATTAAATATCTCTCAACTCTAAACAATAAAATGAACTTCTTGGAAGAGCAAATGAACTTCAAATTTCACCTTAGTGCCCTGACCAATATTGGATTTATGTTCATCTTTTTGCATATTTTTCCCCTAACACGTGAAAGGTATATATAGGTTGGACTACCTTGAGTTGCTAGGCAATAGGCAACGTGTCCTAAGGAGGTTTCGTCCTCGTGCCCACTGTGCCAACACCATGTATCTCATAAGTTAAGAGGAAATTGTCTAAAGATCTATATAAATTGTCTCTGTTATAAACTTAAAACCACCCTTAGGAACCCCGCCCAAATCCTTAACCACCCAAGTGTTAAACCTAAAGTTAGGTAGAACCTTTACATATCTATAAGTAGTGAGTGTTCCATTCTCATGTCAGCTAATAAAATTCACCAACCTTAGACATAGAAAGTTTAGGATTTTTTTTTATGAGGGCAATAAGCCCATCTTAGTGTATCACCTATTAGCATTACCACGAGTCTTAGATTACCAAGGAAGGATTAACCGACCCTTATCACTTTATAACTCTTCTAGCCTTAGTTATATGCAAGATTAAAGATTCAAAATTCTTTATAACTCTAGCGTAGGTCAGGGCCATGTATTTGGGTTCTATGCAATCTAATGATTAAAACTATAACCCTAAAATCAAATAATAATTAATTCATCATAAATGGCTAATCATTTAAAAAAATTGAGGGTTAATAAATTAAACAATAAGAACTCGATCTTGCAACTTGAACCTCTCACCTAATTTGGGGTAGTTATGTACACTAATTTTTGCACAAACTTAGGTGCTGGATAGGACACTTTTTTGTATGCATCCTATGGTAGGGTGTAGCTAGGATAATATTTTATAATTTCTTTTTTTTATTTTGCATTTTTGATGATGTGGTGATGTGCTTCTAGCTTGGTATGTTTTTTGTTGCTTTCTTTTTCTATTTTGTGGATTGATGAGTGAGCACTTGCCCTTAAGTAGTTAGAATATTTATAGAAATATCTTCTGCAAGTGACCATATTCGTAAATGACAAATAAAAATGTTGTCATAATTATCATAAATGCAATTTATGATAGGTACCGTGATGAATGCTAAGCCCTTGAGAATGTGGTCTTAAGCACTAGGTTTGGATGTTGGTGGTATTATTATTATTATTATTATTATTATTATTATTATTATTATTATTATTATTATTATTATTATTATGCTAATCTTTGTTTTATAAAGTGAATATGCAATTTTTATTTTCCAAAATATAATTTTACCTAGGAAAGTCTTGTAATAAGGCCTAAATACCTCACTATGCGCCAAACAACGAAGAGAATAATATAGCGTCCCTAAAAAAGAGTTTTTTTAGGTTGAGGCCTAAGATGTAATTAACCATGGGGGCTTGCGCTCATGGAAAACATACACCCACATCAAATAAATCACATTCAAGTTGATGTATTGAATGGGAGAGATCTTGTGATTATCGGGTCATATATATTATTATCCATCGAGGTGTGTAGTTGAAAGACATTATCCTCCATGATTAATCGTATAAATGATCTCATTTGCTCTCTCATTGGCCTGCTTGCGTAGAGTGTAAAGGCCTAAGACCATTTTGTCCTACAGTATAGTGCGATCGTACCCTTTGCATTATGATCCGCGCTCGCGGAATCCTTTCGGAGATCCATTGTGTGTTTAATTGTTTAGGAAGATTTTCTAAAATATGTTTAATTGTTTAGAAATGTTTCCTAAGTCATGTTTAATTGTTTAGAAATATTTTCTAAATCAAGTTTTATTATTTATAAAGGTTTCCTAAATTACATTTATGTTGATAAGGAAGTTTATGTTTATTTAGAAAAGTTTCCTTTTATGCTAATTAGGAAGGTTTTAACTGTGTTATGTTGTTCTAGGGCTATTTGAGGGGGAGTTTATCTATGATTTAGGGACGCTATTATTTTCCTAGTGTTTGTTGTGAGTTCTAAGCGGCATCTAGTGTTTGTAGGAGAGCATATCTACCTCTCAAATAGTAGATAATTATATATTGATTTATTATTGAAAGAGAAATAAGGAAATCAATTTTATCTTTGTGTTCTTATGTTGCTCTTCTCTTGTATTTATTGTTTTTAGTTCCAAGTCGTATCACAAGGATAAAATAATCCAAAATTTGATCGTGCCCTAATCAATTATAGGCGAGCGACTAGGATTAATTACATTAAACCTTGATAGCTGAAAGCATAGACAACCCAGGAGATCATGGAAGAAAGCAAAATGAAGGATTTTCTGCACTTGGTTGTTCTTACCCTATGCATTTCCAACATTTCAATTAAAAATGGGGATTTGGACCATTGAGGAGAAGAAATGTAAACTATTTAAAAGTTAAATTTGTGTGTGGCCCGACCTGATTGGGCCAATTGAAGCAAATTTGGTTCTAATTGACTTAGCATGACTTGATTCGACTAGATTAAGTTCAATTTAACCTAATTTGACTCAATTCTAGACAATTAAACTCTATTTGGCTCAATTAAAATCAATTTGACTCGATTCCACTCGATTAAGTTGACTTGATGCAATTTCACTTGATTGATTCAAATTAATAAAATAAATTGAGGGTGAAATGAACAAATTAAATCAATTAAATTAAACCAATTGATTTAATTTAATCAACTCGAGCTGATATGAATAAAAAATTGACTAGAATTAGATATTTAGTTAAATTTGACTAAATTGAATTGTCTCGATTTAAAATTTTGACTTGAATTTGATTTTAATTTAATTGAATGAATCGATCTAAAAATTCGAACAACAATCCTATCATCCATATTTACCTTGCAAAACACCCGTCTCTCTCACACTCAACAGTAGTACATCCTCCCACATTCACTTATCTCTCAATAAAACCAAACACATTTCCCAGACGCCCCTCCTCTCTCCCCTATTGCTAAAAAGATTGCATGCATCCTCCCAGTTGTAGAATAATTCCATCTCCCCTAATCTCTCTTTCTCTCGCGCTTGCTCTCTCACTTCACTAGTCCTCCCTCTCTAACTCTCAACTCCTAACACCTCTATCGCATTAGTGCCAATCTACAAAGAAAGTGATTAAATATCTGTTGATGGTAAATTTTAACATTTGAGGGGGAATAAATGACCATTTATTTAAAAAAAAAAAAACAAATGAATGAATGAAAGTTGATTTTGAAAGATGACATATAAAATGGACATCAAAAACTCATACTATTTTGTAAATTGAAAAGATAGGTTAATGACTTATAATTATTAATTTACTTTGACAATTATTATAAATTTCAATTCAAATGTAATTTATAAATTAAGATCATAATTTAAAGTTCATTGAGATTAAAAAAACATATGTTTGTCCTTTTAATTTTAATTTATGCTATCAAATTTAAAAATATTCTTTCTTTCTCGTAAAAGTAGTCATTATTCAATATGCTCACTTGTTATTTGGTTACAAGAAATTTAAGTTCAAAAGTAGTTAAAATTCAGTGTATTTAGATTTTAAGGTTTTGGAATTCCTGCAATCACTTTCATGTGTTTGGTCAAAACAAATAAAAAATGAATTAAAAGAACAAACCTGAAAAATCACGACCTGGCTCCCAGGCGTCGCTGGCTAGGATCAAAGGCAGAGATGGATATCAAACTCCCCACCCATAACCAATCCATCTACTCTACCCCTCAACCACGCAGCCCACCACTACTTTCCTTTTCATGAAGTCTAGACCAAAATTTCTCACCAAATCTCTTATTCTATAATGACCAAAAATTATCTATTAACTCGTCCCACTAGATCTATAAGTCCATCTAAATACCGAACAACCATATATAGAAATCTAAAAATTTATGCCTACAGGAATAACAAAAGAATTTTTTATAAAAATACAATACAAAACAATTTTATCCAGTAAGGGTGAAACGTAAACCTATGCTCACCATAGGGTTGTGATCCGTGCAATGCAATAGATATTATGAAGCATTTAACTCCAACATTGAAATGTAAAACAAGTCAAGATTTAATGAAGTTGTTACAAAATTGACTAGAAGGCTTTTATTCCGCATAATATAAGAAAGAGCATGATTTCAGCACAAAGCTTTAAAACAACTTTGACTTCGCATTTCATGATGACAGTAGCCAAGCTGCATAGGGATGCTTTAAAAGTGCAAATAGTAAAAAAAAATTACAAAAGGACCGTAAACAAAAAAAAAATCAAATATCAAAAGCTGTGCATGACTTGCAGGAAAAGGTTCTATTGATAGTAGAAATTAATTAAAAGATATTACAATTATGTGATATTGTGGCTTCATGAATACAACAACAAGAACATCAAGCCTTTATCCCACTACGTAGGGTCGGCTACATGAATCCTTTTCCTTCATTGTGTCCTATTAAAAGTCAAATTCTCGTTTAAATCTAATAAAGAAAGGTCATTCCTAATATTTTCTAACCAAATCTTTTTAGGTTTGTCTCTACCTTTCTTAACATAAGTCAAATCTAATACCTCTACTATCCTAACCGGGTCATCGGAAGGCCGCCGTTTTATGTGACCAAACAATCTAAGGCAACTCACTCTAATCTTATCTTCCACTGGAGCTACTCCAACCTTTTCACGTATATTGTAGCTTCATGAATATACAACTAAAATATTTATCTTTATTATTCCTCTAAAATTAATTATAAAGCACATGAATCAAAAGCTCTTGCAACGTCCAAAAGCTTTATCTCTACCAAAACGTAAATAGTGGTATATGCAGAAAAAGAATGTTACATTGCCTTATCATATTGATGCCACGAATAGGGAGGAGCATGTACTTAAGTGTGTATCAGACAAATTAAGAATCTAAAGGTAAAATTACCATTTGATATAGCTTGCATCTTTGTGCTGTAAGCGACATTGAATAATCTCTCCCTGAGTCCCCCCGATGCCTTGACCGCATTCATAACACTACAATGGATTAAACTTTAGCATTGTCGCAATTCTAAATGAATTTCAAAAATGGAATTAAAAAAATTGCACGAAATTGACTAAAACATCACCCAGCATAAATTCTATTATAGAGACGAGGAACGCTGGCAAACACTGTAGGCCGGAGAACTGCCATGTCATCCATCAATTTCAGATTATCCTGAGATCAAATGATGATTATTTCAATTAATAGAATGTCCCATAAGTGATTCATGCAATTAAAGTAACACAAGTATATATTACGGCCTATTATTAAGTTGACAAGTTGGCTGGCATAGAATGTATTCCTAAGGCAATGTTCAACGTGCATCAGCATTTTTTAAAAATTTTTTTCACATCTTTTCCTAGTACACTGATCAAATACCTTACTCAAACTTTTAAAGGATCTTACATGACACCTCATGTAAATTGAAAAACCAACGTTAAGCACCAAATAAATAAGTTAAAAAGCACCAGGAGAAAAGTGCATTATTCCTCTTATTGCATTAGGTAGAAATGGTACAAATTTCATAGGATATACATAGCCCAATAAGAGGCTCTTCAATAGAAAGTAAAGTATGGACTAAGGAAGCCAAAACCAAACAATAAGGGAAATTTTGATACACAATTGACCCGACACAATCACCGATGAGCAAAAAAATCTATCACTAGCCCGAATCAAATATAGATAGAGCAAAGACAAAAACATGGGTAAATCATAGATCAGCGAAGGATGAACTTCATCAAGTTCAAATGAAAGATTGACGATCACAGGCCTTCACATCAGCTGCGTGAAAAGACTGAAGGCCTTTAATGGTTTCTCCTCTGAAGAGCAATTTTTCTTCAGCCGCCTCCTCACCTTCGCTTTTATGTGGCCTTCTACAGTAGAGAACAAAATTTTAAAGAGGAAGCAGACAAGAAGACTTCATTATATGGCTGCAAGGCACGAGAAAAGGCATGTGATGTGCTTGCAAGAGATAAGAGCTCAACATTTCTAGATCTATGTGGCTGACGAGTCAAGGGAGAGGAGCATGGGAGGCACATGTTGCAATACCAAAGCTTTGTACAGAGTATGCAACGTAAGTACAAAGGAGAAATTAAGGTGGCAAACATGATCTATAACTTATATGAAACACACAGGTGAGCTCACAACAAAGCACAACATAATGAGTCAGAACAAGAAGTCCAATTTTGACAAGAAGACAAATTCAATGGCAAGTAAAATTTTCAAATTGCTTTTCTAGTAACAACAAAGGTGGAAGGAAAAACCACTTCTCAAACTGTACTTATTCCATAGCAAAGTATGCCCCTAGTTGAATATTAGCAATTATTCCATATCAACTCATTCATATGGTTTGTTCATATTAAAATAAAAAATGTTATGACAATTGAATGACATTTTTTAACAATAAAATTTTATAACTATAACAAAAACAACATCAAGCATTTATGACATTATGTGGGGTCGGCTACATGAATTCTTTTTCTTCATTGTGTCATGTTAAGAGTCAAATTCTCATTTAAATCTAATAAAAAAAGATCATTTCTAATCAAATCTTTTTAGATCTGCCTCTATATTTCTTAACACAAGCCAAATCTAATGCATTTACTCTCCTAACTGAATCATCCAAAGGCCAATGTTTTATGTGTCACGATCCGGCCCGATTAGCTCGTTGATACGAGGCGGGAACGAGATCGGACATGTAATTTAAGTACTCATCATCAGTTCCATGTAATTCTAAATATATTCAAGAATAATAAAAGCGCCTCTAAACTTTCATGTCAATGTCACAGGTCTATTACAATGTACAAGATGGCAATAAAATTTTTCTTCTTAAAAAAATTAAACATTGTGATGAGTTAAATTAAGTCGTAGAGATTTAAATCTCTTGTTTTCCTTTAGGTTGAAATTAAGAAAGGAGGCGAGGACTTGTGCGGGAAACTTTCCAAGCACGAATTCTCAAAGGTAAGTGACTTTATTGGCTAAGGAAAGTGCGCATTTCATTATAACTATATTTGTTTATTAAAGTTTTTATGTCAAGCCATGAAATGGTTATGTTTCTTATGTCAAATCATGACAAATCATGAAAGGGTTACTTAGTATCTTATGAAAGCATCTTATCATGGTTGAAATCATCTTATCATAGTCATGCAATGGTTATTTAGTGTCACATGAAAGCTTCCTATCATATTCATGCTATATTGTTTGTGATTGTTGATGACGGAGTACCAAGAAGTGGCTCTTTGAGCAAAGACGGCCTTTGCGGCAATACGGAACGAAATGAAAATGAATGGCCATGAACGATGTGTACCTGATCAGTACAATTCGGTACTCCGAGACGGATGTATATATTATGAAATGACACATATGCAAGTATTTCATGTTTTCTTGTATCAAGAACTCTTAATTTATGTTTTAGGCAAGATATATTATATTGATCGAATGCAATAAA